AAGAGAAACTTTTGACTTTGTGTCTGATCTCCCTTTGAACCTGTTGGTATGTTTGTGTTACCTGTTTCTCTGACCAGAACTCTTTATTGTTCTTTGTCTCCACCAATAGAGTCGTGATGAAACCGAGGTGCATGCTGAACTCAGCAGTTGCCTGATGAAAATTTATGGGTGCCATCAGCCTGATGCCACTTCTGAGACATATCAGAGACTTTTTGTTGGAATGGGTCACATGTGCCCTAAAGCATCATCTAAATACACAAATCTCCTCACCAAGTTGTCTTAGATTACTTCTAAGTTCTCTCACCCTGATAGCCTTAAAACTGCCTTGACAGTTGACTGTTTTCAGTTTGGTGTGTTTCATGTGTTCAAAATAAGTTTGGCAAGTCTTTTGGCAAGTTACTCATGTAACAGGATTACAGTTAGCGTTTTCTTTTTGTGTTCATTCTAATGTGCTTTAAATGAAAATGGACTTTGGACTGTGTTCTGTACCAGTCATTATCTCATGAGGTAAATAGACAACAGTAGTGTGTGCGCAATTCAGGAGTTCTTTTAAAAATAATGTTTGTTAGAAATAGTGCTGAAAAAATATAGTCAAAAAGCCATATTTGATGCAATTATTTTTACACATACTGCAGTTTCAGTGTGAGTCAATGTAATGTTGTGTCTGGCATTTACCTTTATTAGAACATTGTAGCTTTAGGAATTTGGATATTTTGTGCCTAATTGTTCATTTCTACTTCAAAATCCACAAACACTTGAGTCATTGTTTGACATTGTTTTCCAGTTATTGTTAGAAGTGAAACTGGTTGCTAAGATTAAACAAATGTTATAATGTTAAATCCGTATTCCATCTTGTTCTTCTTAATAGAATAGTGAATGTTATTGACAGGAACAACTAATTATGTAAAGTGAGTCAAAAGGTGAAGGTTGTGATATAGAAATTATATACATATAAATGTATGCAGCAAAATTAAGTTACTCAAACTTGTACACATGTTGCTACAAGTGACGTGTACTGATTTTAATTAAGTTACTTGGAAAATTATGTTTACTTAACTAAGTTATATCAGTAGTGTTAACTCAGCTTGACTTTTCTGAGTTTGAGTTGACTCAACTCAAAAGGTCCAATGCAAACACATACCACACTTTTTTTTAAGTTAGATAAAGGTATTACTTTTTACAGTGCATTATTTTACCCAAAAATGATTAAATCAGTAAACAACATATATTAAAATATTTCTTGTGAGGTTGGACAAGCTTTACAGAACACTGGTAGAAATCCCATTAAACCTAATGAGAAACTGTATAACAAGACTCAATTTATATCTCAATACCTACATTTAGAGTCAGTTATTCATTCAACATAATGAGAAACTGTAGAACAGACTCAGTTTATATCACAATACCTACATTTAGAGTCAGTTATTCATTCAACCTAATGAGAAACTGTAGAACAGACTCAGTTTATATCACAATACCTACATTTAGAGTCGGTTATTCATTCAACCTAATGAGAAACTGTAGAACAGATTGAGTTTTTATCACAATATCTACATTTAGAGCCGGTTATTCATTCAGTCTAATAAGAAACTGTAGAACAGACTCGGTTTATATCACAATACCTACATTTAGAACCAGTTATTCATTCAGGCTAATGAGAAACTGTAGAACAGACAGTTTATATCACAATACCTACATTTAGAGTCGGTTATTCATTCAACGTAATAAGAAACTGTAGAACAGACTCAGTTTATATCACAATACCTACATTTAGAACCAGTTATTCATTCAGCATAATAAGAAACTGTAGAACAGACTCAGTTTATATCACAATACCTACATTTAGAGTCGGTTATTCATTCAACTTAATGAGGAACTGTAGAACAGATTGAGTTTATATCGCAATACCTACATTTAGAGTCAGTTGTTCATTCAACCTAATGAGAAACTGTAGAACAGACACAGTTTATATCACAATACCTACATTTAGAGTCAGTTATTCATTCAACATAATGAGAAACTGTAGAACAGACTCAGTTTATATCACAATACCTACATTTAGAGTCAGTTATTCATTCAACCTAATGAGAAACTGTAGAACAGATTGAGTTTATATCGCAATACCTACATTTAGAGTCAGTTGTTCATTCAACCTAATGAGAAACTGTAGAACAGACTCAGTTTATATCACAATACCTACATTTAGAGTCAGTTATTCATTCAACCTAATGAGAAACTGTAGAACAGATTGAGTTTATATCGCAATACCTACATTTAGAGTCAGTTGTTCATTCAACCTAATGAGAAACTGTAGAACAGACTCAGTTTATATCACAATACCTACATTTAGAGTCATTTATTCATTCAGCCTAATGAGAAACTGTAGAACAGACTCAGTTTATATCACAATGCCTACATTTAGAGTCAGTTATTCATTCAGCCTAATGAGAAACTGTAGAACAGACTCAGTTTATATCACAATACCTACATTTAGAGTTGGTTATTCATTAAACATAATGAGAAACAATAAAACACACTCAGTTTATATCACAATACCTACATTTAGAGCCAGATATTCATTCAGTCTAATGAGAAACTGTAGAACAGTCTCAGTTTATATCACAATACCTACATTTAGAGTCATTTATTCATTCAGCCTAATGAGAAACTGTAGAACAGACTCAGTTTATATCATACCTACATTTACAGTGAGTTATTCATTCAGTCTAATGGGAAACTGTAGAACAGACGCAGTTTATATCACAATACCTACATTTAGAGTCAGTTATTCCTTCAGCCTAATGAGAAACTGTAGAACAGACGCAGTTTATATCACAATACCTACATTTAGAGTCATTTATTCATTCAGCCTAATGAGAAACTGTAGAACAGACTCAGTTTATATCATACCTACATTTACAGTGAGTTATTCATTCAGTCTAATGGGAAACTGTAGAACAGACTCACTTTATCTACATGTTGTTCAAGATTCATCAACGATAAAGAGAGATTTTCCAGGTGAAGTGTAAAGATAGTGTTTAACTGAGTGCTGTGGGAGATCAAGCAGTCTGGGTCAGTTTATTATAGATACAGTGGAGGAGAATCATGGGTAATGAAACACTGTAAACAGTGGATCATACAGAACAGGGTTTCTGTATCGCTGGGCTGCAGACCAACAGTGGGCCATGAAGCACTGTCTGTAGTCGTCTGCAGGCCGGCACTCAGGGGGAGGCAACAGATCATAGTGGACTGGTATCATCACTTTCTCATACAGAATATAAGTGGAAAAAAAGATGAATTTAACAGTTAAGCCCTTAAAGGGCCAGGGCCCACTGGCAGGGACAAAGCTTTATTACACACTTCTATAAGCTAAGAATAGCTCAGCCAGGTTGCAGTGAATTCCCTGTAGTGACTGAATAATATGCTTTAATAGGTAATAAGTCTGGGATTTTAAGGGGTTAAGAATCAAAGAATCAAAAATTTTCAAATTCTAACCAGTATAAATATAAACAGAGACATAATAAAAATGTTGCAGTATCAGACCAATTAAACATCATCAGTTTGAGATGGCGCAGCTGCAGCTGTGCACTGCAGACAGTTAGTCAGAGCTGGAGAAGTTTCTAAAGCGTTTTCACGCCTACCTTGTTTGTCACACCTTTTCTTTAGTTCCCTCTGTATTGACATGTGTGAACACTTCACCTGTTCGGATCTGCAACACACAGCTGAACCAGTCCAGCAAAACCCGCGGATCTCGGTCCACTTCTAAACAAACCCTAGTTCAGGTCACTGCTGGTAGGAACACATTCTATAAAGAAAGATAACAGCAAAAATCTGTGTTTAATTTTGGCTCATGGATCATGATTTTGGCTCAATCACATTGACTAACGAATGATGAAGAAGCAGTTAGCACTAGGTTTATAATTAGTGTTGGATTGTGATGACGCTAATCCAAAAGCCTGGTGTGAAGAGTGTGACTTGACTCTTTTAACTAATGCACTAAAACTTTAAAAGTGAAAGAGAAATGCGACCGACTGCAGCTCCAAATGCAAAAATAATAAAATGTTTCCATAATATCACAGTCCACATTTACCTCGTATATTTCTATTAGTTTTTCTTTTCTCCCCTTTTTTAACATCACTGAAAACATTTTAATATGCTGTGTTTTAATATAACTGCAAACTGCAAATGTGGGTTTCTGTGATTGAACCAAAATGGAGGGTGTGATCTTTTTCAGGCCCTTTCTCAGGTTTTAAGATTCAGTACTTAAAAAAGAAAAGAAACATTGTTTTAAAAATAGTCTATTTGAGTTTCCTGTGTGCCGTTACGGTTTCTAATGATAAAGAGGTGGATCATGGGGAGGAAAAGGTTGAGAAACCCTGATACAGACGACAATCACTTCTGGAAGAATCTGCACACTTGCACTGTGTGGGAAATAGAAGAACTGTTAGACGTCATTACTCACCAGTGGACTTTCACAAGTGCTGTGATTGGTCCAGTAAAACACCCTCTTCACCCAGTAAAACACCTTCCAGCACTTCCTCCTGTGGTCTGAACTAATCCAGTCCAAACCGGTTTACAGTGGAAGTGAAGCCTTCAGCAGCTTCTGTTTAGAGAAGAGAAGATCATAAATAGAGAGAGAAAAGCTCAGAGGTAATTACTGAAGATCAACACACAGAATTTAATTTCTGACTTGATGATTAAAGACATTTCAGACACAGAGAGAGCAGAACATCACTGTGGAACTCAGAGACAGAACTATATTTCAGAGAACAGCTTTCAGATGAAGTTAACATGTAGACTTCAATACTTCTGTGTGTGTGTTTACAGGATTAGGTCTAATCTGAAGGAGGACCTCCAAAATGAGTTTCTCTGAGGAGCAGCACTCACCAAAAGCTGAGAGGTGAGAGAATCATGGGATTTGGGGTAAAGACTGTATGTTCTCATCTACACCAACATGCAGGAACGTTTGTAGATCATGTCTGATATTGGTTGTGTTCTAGACTGGTTCAGGGTCAGAGATCTGACTCACCTGAACCCAGCTGTGTGTCCATGAAGAGTGACCAGTCAATGGACAAATATATACACTTCAGAGAGGATAACAGTTCATCTGAGATCAGGTATGAATGATGTGAAACTAAAGAATGAGATAAAAACATAACAAAAGAAACAAGGAATACAAAGTCTTTTCTGCTTTACTGTACATTTTTATATTCTGCAGAAAAAAATTGTGTAAAAACATGGAGTGAATAAATCACACACAGGGTATGGTACTGAATATTGAAATGTATGTTGTAACAATATATTAGTACATAAAATTAAATAGTTTGTTTAATTCACTACATTTACCTTAATAAACTATGAGTTGTAGTGTTTAAACCTTTGTGTATTTTACTGTAACAATATTTTCCCTATTTTGTTTGTTTTTCCTGATCCCAGCTACGTGTCCATGAAGAGTGATCAGTCAAGGGGGACTCCACTAGTATTCAGAGAGGAGGACAGATCTACTGATCTGAGGTAAAGACAGTTTTAAGTATGAATGGTGCAGTAAAACATTCCTCACTTCCAGTCCCACTAAACTGTGCAGTGCTGTGACTCTACAGAACCTGGAGTGAAGAACACTGGATTAGGGGATTAAATTAAAGATCTAATACTCAGCGTTCATTAATAAAGTTTCAGCTGCTGCTAACATTCATTATATATATCTAATATATCTACACAGTGAATGTAACTGAATTTGAAATGAATATGTTGTAACATATGAAAGTGTGTTTATTGAGCTGTTGTTCACAATACACGACTGATAATCTTACGATTTCTAACAGAGTTCTTATGATTTCTAACAGAGTCCAGAAGAACTCAGATATTACCAGGAGAAACATGGAGATCATATTCAAGGTTTGTGCATGTGTGTGTGTGTGTGTGTGTGTGTGTGTATGTGTGATTATGTGTGTGTGTGTGATTGTGTTACGTGAATTACATGTACATCATTTGTAGTAAGACCATGAAATATATTTGTAAATTGAGTTTTCTGTCTGATTGATGTTTCCGTTTAGAGCAGGTTTGTTATTTCAGAAAAAAAAAAAACAGTCATTTACTTTTCTTTTGTATCAGTGATTTGGGTGATATCTTGTTTAACTGGTGGTGATGAGCAGTGATTCTGGGTTTTTCATATAATTTGAGACAATATGAATCATAAATTACCTTCTCACCATAACTGGTGCTCTAAAAGTGTTTTATGCCAAGAATAAATTTCATAAGATAAAATTGTATTCTTCTATCATCCTGATTACTCAATAATAACAACAACATCAATAACAACAACAACAAAAACAATAACAACAACAATAATAATAATAATAATAATAATATTAGTAATAATAATAATAATGATAATAATAATAATAATATTGTAGATTCCCTCACTCTGATCCTGTTTCTGTACCTTTGTCGCCTTAATCAGGAGCTGGAGCACAAAGTCATCTCTCTGGTGAAGAATCAGCTGAAGAGGTTTGTGAAGCTGCTGAGTCTGGATTACCCAGCATGTTCTGAGAGAAAGGTAGAGGATGAGGAGGATCAGAGCAGTGTCAGAGAGGGGGCGCTGAAGATCACACTGACCGTCCTGAGGAACATGAACCAAACTGACCTCGCTAACACACTACTGACCAGTAAGACATCAGGGTCACGTGGTTATTCATCATATTAATATCAAGAGTTTAAATGATCAGGATAATGTAATATTAATAATAATCATCACAGAACTATTAGATTTTCTTATTGACCAGCTTTGTGTGATGTCACTATAATGTGTCATAGTGTGTTTGTTTCAATGCTGAAACTAAATATTAATATTTATTGTTACTGTTTCCTCTTTTTATCAGAACTGGCTCCTTCTTGTCATCAAAAGCTGAAATCAACACTGAAGGAAAAATTTCAGAAAATGAATGAAGGAATCTCAAATTCGGGAACCTCAACCCTTCTGAATGAGATCTACACAGAGCTCTATGTCACAGAGGGAGGGAGTGGAGAGGTCAATCATGAACATGAGGTCAGACAGATTGAAACAGCATCCAGAAGACCAGCAACACAGGAGAAACCCATCAAATGTAATGACCTCTTTAAAGATAATTCCATCAGAGCTGTGCTGACTAAAGGAGTTGCTGGAATTGGAAAAACAGTGTCTGTGCAGAAGTTCATTCTGGACTGGGCAGAAGAAAAGGCAAATCAGGACGTCCTCTTCATATTTCCACTTCCTTTTAGAGAGCTGAACTTGATGAAGGAGAAAAAACTCAGTCTGGTGGATCTTCTTCATATTTTTTTCTCAGAAACAAAAGAACTAAAACCAAGAGACTATCATCACTACAAGGTCATGTTCATCTTTGATGGTCTGGATGAGTGTCGACTTCCTCTAGATTTCCAGAACAATGAGTGCTTATTAGATGTAACACAGTCAGCCTCAGTGGATGAGCTGCTGACAAACCTCATCAAGGGGAATCTGCTTCCCTCTGCTCTCCTCTGGATAACTACTCGCCCAGCAGCAGCCAATCAGATCCCTCCTGAGTGTGTTGACCAGGTAACAGAGGTACGAGGGTTCCGTGACCCTCAGAAAGAGGAGTACTTCAGAATGAGAATCAGTGACCAGAGCCTGGCCAATAAAATCATCTCCCACATGAAGTCCTCAAGAAGCCTCTACATCATGTGCCACATCCCAGTCTTCTGTTGGATTGCAGCCACTGTTCTAGAGAGAGTGTTGGGTGGAGCAGAGAGTGGAGAGATCCCCAAGACTCTGACTCAAATGTTCACCCACTTCCTGATCTTTCAGATCAAACACAAGGACCAAAAGTACCATGGGAAATGTGACACTGATCCTCAGCAGACTAGAGAGTGTATTCTGGCACTGGGAAAACTGGCTTTCCAACAGCTGGAGAAAGGCAATCTGATCTTCTATGAGAAAGACCTGAGAGAGTGTGGCATTGATGTCAGAGAAGTGTCAGTGTACTCAGGAGTTTGTACCCAGATCTTCAGAGAGGAGTTTGGGCTGCACCTGGGGAAGGTGTTCAGCTTTGTGCACCTGAGCGTTCAGGAGTTTCTGGCTGCTTTATATGCATTCATTTCCTTCATTTCCTACAACAGAAATGTTCTGCCTACAGGATTTTTTGATTTATTCAGAAAATCAACAATTACAAATTTCCTCAAGTCGGCAGTGAACAAGGCCTTACAGAGTGAGAATGGACAGCTGGACCTTTTCCTCCGCTTCCTTCTGGGCCTCTCACTGGAGTCCAATCAGACTCTCTTACGAGGCCTACTGACCCAGACAGGAAGCAGCTCTCACAGCAAAGAGGAAACAGTCCAGTACATCAAGGAGAAGATCAGGAAGAATCCCTCTCCAGAGAAAACAATCAGTCTGTTCCACTGTCTGAATGAACTGAATGATCATTCTCTGGTGCAGGAAGTCCAATCATACCTGAACAGGCGAGGTTCCAGTGGACTCAGTAGAGCTGAGCTCTCTCCTGCTCAGTGGTCAGCTGTGGCATTTGTGTTGCTGAATTCAGACGAAGAGCTGGATGAGTTTGACCTGAGGAAATATGATCCATCAGAGAAATGTCTTCTGAGGCTGCTGCCAGTGGTCAAAGCATCCAGAAAAGCTGTGTGAGTATTTTCATATTTTCGGATTAGTGCAGTCTACTTTTAGATACTGGTATTTTTCCCACCTCGTTACATGATGTCTTTCTGTTATTGTTATTGGTAGCACTTGGCACTGCTTGTTAATTCATGAACAGTCAGTGAAACTTCTTTTGGTATCAGATTTTTTTAATCTGCCAATCTAGAGCCATATAATGAACAGTGAGTCACATTTGTGCATGTGAAAATGTATCACATTTTTTTCGTTTTTCGTATCCGTCCCTGTTTGTTTAAAATCACTACTGTTTTCATTCTGTTTCATCCACTTTCACTGACAGTTGCTTTCAGACTCTTCTACAAAATTTCATTATTACAGCTTTTCTCGAGCTTTGCACTAGTATTGGCGGAGCAGTTCCCCAGTGCTTCTCTGTTGTTGTAGTCTATGAATCTCTTTCTTTCATGTTTCAATGATATTAAATCATTACCTGTCTGTGTTTCCTTAACGAGCTCTTCCATTTTCCCTGTTGTGTTTTGTTTATTTCCTGCTGATTGTTCATCATTTCAGTCTCTTCTTCATTTATAACTCTTTCAAACTTAACATCTTATCCGTGATACATTTAAATACATTGATGGCGTCTACTTCAGCTCTTTAATATCTGCCGCCTGAGTATCCAGGATGTGTCAGTGCACTGAATCCACACTGACTCACTGATTTAAACTGGAGTTTTCTTTTTCATCGAAAGTCATGGCAGCATGTTAGCATATAGTAACATGAATGAAAAAATGATGATTATACTTGATTCCTTCATACATGATAATATTTCATGACCTAAGATACAGAGTGGACTCAAAATCTAATACTGCAACAGTAGATGTCAGCAGTGTTTATGTCCATGTTGGTCATTAAAATGGATCAGCAAGTGGAACTGAAGTTTTCTGTGTTTCCATGAATGTGTAAATGAATCTCAGTGCTGGCTTTATTAGTGGATGAACTGAGATTTGTTTTGAGTGAGTGTCCTCACACATTAAGAGTTAAAGTTACCTCACTGTGGAAACACTTATTTATGAGATAATATTATGAGAGGAATTAGGAAAAGACCCTTTAAATTAGCTTAAATTTAAAATACCACATCTATCAAAATCTTGTTAGTTCATGTCCCTGGTTTTATTAAGTGTGAGTCATCATATGTATGATAGATATATTCATTATATAGTCATATATCTAGGGGTGGAAAATGTGGCAAAAATAGTATATTATTACACTTCAAGACGTTTTCATGATACATGATGGGCATCACAGTATTTAGTGTTTCTGAGATTTAGTAAGTTGTAGTGGGATAGAAAATAGAACCTATAGTGCCTCATGTAAAAATGATATAATACCTACAACAACATTGACTTATTGCATATTAAATACTGCACCAGAAAATCCAATTAAACAGGACTAATTATTCTCTCTTCATAATGAAACATGCGGTTAGTTAGATTTTTTTAAGTGCTCATGATGTTTACAACATGCTCAGAAAAGTGCACTGTCACATTTTGTCACGATAACAATAAAGTGTCTTCAAACTACTCATATCTAATAGTTTGGAAATGATATCTATTGGTTTATTAATAGTTATAAAATTCTTGCAAGGCATTAATAATTGTATTATTGGTATCAGAAAAAGAAACCACTACTTTAGTCACATAAGAATAATCAGACTTTAATACTTAGAACTTATTAAATTATATAACTTGAAATTGTATGCATTTATTTTTTTGCATAAAAATAATAATAATTGACTGAATTATCTATTTCCTTTTTCGTGATCATTTTTTTAATTTGTTTACTGATAATCAAGCAGCACTTTATCACAACAATTCAGAACTGAAGGAAAAAAAACCAACAACCCCCTTACCTGCCCCATCACAGCCCACTGGTCCATCCCTCCCCAGCCCACTGGTCCATCCCTCCCCAGCCCACTGGTCCATACCGCCCTCTCACGCCTCAGGAGGACTCCATTGCCCACAACCCCTCGGGAGATCATATGACTGTGGAGGGTTGTGCACGCACCTATCAGCGCTCTCATTCACCGGAGTACTAAATACATTCACCTGTGTTTATTGTCATATGACCCACTTAGTATAGTTTATAAGCCCGGGCTTTAGTCTTAGTCGTTGCGAGGTATTGTTTCTTCTTGAACTTGCTAAGCGTTTCTATTATCTGTTTGCCACTACCTGTTATGACCCACGTTTTGTTTCACTGACATTGATTTTTGCCTGTCCCTTCTCGTACTTTTGCTGACTGTTTTTGGATACGTGTTTTGACTTTTTGGCCTGGTTTTTTGACTACGATATCGGATCTCTCCCTTGGTGTTGTTTGCTTTGGTTATGATCACTTCGGTGATATTGTACTGCTTCCTAGTTACGACCCACGCATGTTTTTTGACCTCTTCTTTGTCGCAATCGAATAAAGCCTGGTGTACATTTTTTATCCGCAAGCGTCTGGATTCTGTTGCATCGTCACACTCCCCATTTTCTGTACTTTTATACTATTTACTAAATAAGATTTAGTGAAAAGGATGATGTTTCAATAATAAAATGAAAAAAGAGAGAAAAGAATGTTAGCCTATAAGATGAATCTCACTGATGTTCCAATCTTTTTGTCACATCACAACAAATCTGTTTCCATGTCTAAAGAGTAGATGTTTTACCTTTATTAATCCCAGCTGTGGCCAATTCTAACATAGCTATGTCACGCAGTTGAAATGTCGTACACTTAGATTATGTGGGTGAAGCCACCTCTGTGCAATGATTTTTTTAGCCAATGTTAAACCAGCGAACCGCATCTTCCTTTGTTTCCCTGTTAAATTTAAATTGGAGTCATCGTTTAGCAACAATACAGCTGGATCCACAGGAATTTCTGGTCCAATCAGGGCATAATATGGTAGTAACCTTTATCCAGAAGTCATTAACATCCCCACATTCCCACAACACGTGCAAAAAAGTTCCCATTGGTTGTTGTGGACAATGGCTGCAGTAGGGATTTACGCAGTTTTTGTTAGGAAGTGTTTTCGTGGTGTCCAGTATAACTTATGACAATGTTTAAAATGGATCAGTTGATCATTGGGGTTCTTTGATGCATGAAATATATTTCCTCATACTATGTTCCAATCAGTTGTATTAACAGAAAGTTCCTTTTCCCAGACAAACTGAATTTGGAGCTTCTTATACAATGTTTTAGTGAGATGAGAATATATAGTTGAATATATAGTCAAGACCTCGTGGCGGAGCAATAATGACCCAGCTATGAATTGGATGCGGCTTGATTCTTGTTCCCCATGGACCCCCATATGCTTTAAGGGCTGAACGTAATTGTAAATACAGAAAGAAGGAAGATCTTGGTTTATTGAAGATTGTTACTAAATTTTCAAAACTTAACATCCCTTCTGAATTAAATACATCTTCAAGAGTTTTAATATTCTGTTTTCTCCATGGCTGTTTTAAATGACTTTTACTTTTAACTGTACTGTTACTGCAGTGCCTGAATAAAAGATAAAGATAGAGGCACACACACACACACACACACACACACACACACACTGTTTACACTGTGGAGCGTAACAAGTTATAAGCATATTATAGTACATATTACATTAAATTATATGTATAAAAAGTAATTACACTGCTTTAGTTATCATTCATGAAGAAAATAGTTTATAGTATAGCATTCATTAATGCACATGTAAAACTGAAATGATTATTATCTTTAATTAACTACTGATTAAGTTGCTAATAATTAAATGGCTACTTATAGGGGCCTGATATTATAAAGTGTTACCAAAATGCATCTTGTCCCCTGCTGCCTGACTATGGAATCAAAATCAGAGGTATTTTTAAAGGGTTAGATATCTACTACATTAAAGTAGATTTAAAAAAAAAAAACTGTGTTTTTTTTACTCGCTTCACTTGTAGTTTATTATCCAAGGTATGTTTGTTTAGTTTTATTATATCTTAGTTTATTATATCTTAGAGTATTTGATAAATAATATTGACTATAAGAGCTGGACACTGTATCTTTTTAAATGTAAAAAGATTTACTGACTTTACTCAAAAAGTTATTAATTAATTATTTTGGATAACTGAAAAATGTATATTTTCTCTGTGTGTTTGTGTGTGTGTGTGTGTGTGTCTGTGTGTGCCTCTATCTTTGTCTTTTATTCAGGCACTGCAGTAACAGTACAGTTTCACTCCAGTCCATGTCTTCCTCCTCCACTCAGAGTTCATTCAGTATTCTAGTCCATGATCAGCCATACATCATACAAAGTTATTGATCTTATGTGTTCAGGGTGTGAGTTAGAACACAGCAGATAAACTCATCAGCATCATGATGAAAATATTGACTTGTAAAGAGAATTTTAGTGTCAAAAGAAATCCTGTTACCAACATCCAGTGTATTATCAACATCCAGAGTATTATCAACATCCAGAGTATTATCAACATCCAGTGTATTACCAACATCCAATGTATCCAGTATTTCTAAATGTAAAGATGAAGTCTTTTTGAATTTATGGAGAGTAACATCACTCCATTCAAATTCTCCTGATTTAAACTCTACCATGTGCTGTGTTTATTCTGTCTTTACAGACTAGCTGGCTGTAATCTCATGAAAGCATCTTGTGAAAAACTATCATCAGCTCTACAATCAGTAAACTCCTCAATGAAAGAGCTGGACCTCAGTAACAATGACCTGCAGGATTCAGGAGTGGAGCTGCTGTCTGCTGGACTGAAGAGTTCACACTGTAAACTGGAGACTCTCAGGTGAGTTTTCTGTAAATTAGATCTTTAATCAACAATTTCATACATTCATTGTTATCTTTTGGTGAAAAGGGCCATTTTATATAAATAAATGTGCCTTTTAATTGAATCCTGTCAATTTGGAGATTATCTGATTTGGGTGGGTAGTCCTGCTGCCATCAGTGAGAATTCAGTAACACTTTACAGATCATTAATCAGTGGGTGGTTAAATGGTAGTAATATGATAACAAGTTGCACTAACTTACATGCTTTAATTTTATAATGTATAGTACTTTAGTAATTTTAGTTTTTATTATTTGGTGATGAAATGGAAACATTGATAACAAACGAATAATTTATAAAGAAAATGCAATTTTCAGTTACCCAAAATAATTAATTAATTAAGTAACTGGTGAGTAAAGTCAGTAAATCTTTTTACATTTAAAAATATATAGTGTCCAGCTCTTACAACACAGCATCTGTTTAATCAAGATAATATACCAATTATTTTATATCTTTATGAGTTTTATAATATTACGGTTATTATTCCAAAATAATAAGAGGTTTGGCTTAAATTTATAGTATCAATGCTGTAAAATACAGTTCAATGGTTTCTACTGTGTTTCTTAACCAATATGTCTTTAAATGGTCAGATGCAGTGGCATGTACAGACATATTTGGGACACTGTGTAAAGTGTAAATTAATGTAAATAAAAACAGAATGCAATGATGTGCAAATCTCATAGACCCATATTTTATTCACAATAAAACATTAACTCATTTAGTGCTTGATGGCAGCAACGCATCTCCCTGAAGTTGGGACAGGGGCAACAAAAGGTTGGAAAAGTAAGCCGTACAAAAACAGCTGCAGGAGCAATTTGCAACTAACTCACATGACTGGGTATAAAAAGAGCATTTTAGGCAGGCAGAGTCTCTCAGAAGCAAAGATGGGCAGAGGTTCACCAATCTGTGAAAAACTGTGTCTAATAATTGTGGAATAATTTCAGAACAATGTTCCTCAACATAACATTGCAAAGACTTTGGATGTCCCGCCATCTACAGTACATAATACCATCAAAAGATTCAGAGAATCTGGAGAAATCCCTGTACTCAAGGGACAAAGCTGACGGTCAATATTGGATGCTCGTGATCTTCGGGCCCTCAGGCAGCACTGACTGCATGGGCTCAGGAACACTTCCAGAAATCATTGTCTGTGAACACAAATCACTGTGCAATCTGCAAATGCAAGTTAAAGCTGTATCATGCAAAGAAGAAACCATATATAAACAGGATCCAGAAATGCTGCCAACTTCTCTGGGCCAATTTCATTAAGAGGGACTGAGGAAAGTGGCAAAGTGTCCTGTGGTCCAATGAATCAAAATTTGAAATTCTTTTTGGAAATAATGGACACTGCATCCTCCAGGCTAAAGACCTCCCTGCTTGTTGTTAGCACACAGTTTTAAAGCCAGCATCTATGATGGTATGAGGGAGCATAAGTGCACATGACATGGGTGTCTTGGATATCTGTGATGGCACCATTAATGCAGAATGAAATATACAGGATTTGACAACATGGTGCCACCCAGACAGAGTCTTGGCCTGCCTGCAGTCTGGACCTTTCACCAGTAGAACATCTGGCACATCATAAAATGAAAAATCCACCAAAGAAGACCCAAAGAAGACCCAGGACTGTTGGGCAGCTAGAATCCTACATCAGACAAGAATGGGACAACATTCCTCTCCCAAAACTCCAGCAATTGGTCTCCTCACTTCCCAGACATTTACAGAGTGTTGTTAAAAGAGGAGTGGATGCTACACAATGGTAGACATGGCCCTGTCCCAACTTTCTTGAGATGATTTGCTGCCATCAAGTTGTAAATGAGTTAATGTTTTTATGAAATGATAAAATGTCAACCTCTGATATGTGTTCTGTTGTGAATAAAATATAGGTACATGAGATTTGCGAATCATTGCATTCTGTTTCTATTTAGATTTATTTACATATGACACAGCATTTTTAGAATGGGGGTTGTAGTTTCTGAATTATTAAAAGATTATTTAGTCACTATAAAAATAGTCAATCACACTCATAACTGATTTATTACAAATTATATTAGTCGGACTTAGTTACAAAAATGTGAGTGGTGTATGCCCTGTTTTAATTTTCTGTTGTACAGCCTTCTCATTAATGCTAACTAGTCATTATTGCATGCATAATTCATACTCTTTGAACATTAAAATAATTCACGGGACCGCTATTATGAAGTATTACTTCAAAATGTAGTTATAAATATTTTATAGCACATACTGCATTAAAATATATTCATGAAAATAAGTCATAGTGCTTTAGTTATTATTCACTAGGTAAAAAGTGAACAATTACATTTTTGAATTTATTGATGTACAAGAAAAAGAAACATGATTATTAATGTAATTAACATTATTTTATTTAAAAATTAATTTGCTATTCATATGGGTGTGTTAATATAAAGTGTAACCAAAATGCATCTCAGCCCTTGCTGTCTCACTTCAGACTAAGATCACTGCCAATCTAGGTATTTTAATGAATTATCTGCTTTAGTAAATAATTTTTTTTTACTTATGTCAAAGTAATTTATCATCCAAAGTATGTTTCGTTGTTTGTTCTGTTTATCTGTTCACATCATAATCAATATCCAACACTGACTGCATATATACTTAATCTTTGTTGTACAAAAATGCTGCAAACAAAGTACATTTTAAGTTAAACCATCAGAAAATTGTTCACAGTATAAATCACTTTCATATTGTTCAAAGTTATTGATGTAATGTTTGCAAGTTGTGAGACAGAACACAAGGACTGAACTCATCAACATCATGAATACGTTTACATTTTAGTGAGTTGTAATTGTAAAGTCACTTTTAGTGTTAGGAAGAAATCAGGCAACGGACATCTATGTACTACTTTCTAAATGTTTAGATAAAGTAACGTGTTGAGAACAACATCAGTCTTTTTGAATTCTCCTAATTTAAACTATACCATGTGGTGTATTACTGATTTTACAGACTAGCTGACTGTAATCTCAGGACGGCATCTAGTGAAAAACTATCATCAGCTCTACAATCAGTAAACTCCTCCCTGAAAGAGCTGGACCTCAGTAACAATGACCTGCAGGATTTAGGAGTGGAGCTGCTGTCTGCTGGACTGAAGAGTTCACACTGTAAACTGGAAACACTCAGGTGAGTTTTCTGTAAATTAGATCTTTAATCAAAAATTAAGCTCTTATGTTTCAGACATTTCTGATATTGTGGAATGGGCACTCATACACTCATACATACATTCAGTCTTTTGGTGAAATGTGGCTTTATGAATATTGTGGTTTTCACTTGACTTATGCAGATTTGGAGATTTAGGAGGTGGTCCTGCTCCCAGCAGAGAGAATTCAGTAACACTTTACAGATCTGTAGTAAGTGGGCAATGATATGATAGTATTATGGTAACAAGTTGTGCTAACCTAAACAAAATGCATGCCAGCAAAGGGTGACTGTGGAGAGCCACCCCTACTCCTGTGGGACTTGCATTTAAGCTCATGGCAAATGGTAGTTTAGCCTCACACCTTTGTAGATGGGTGACTGGTTTGGTACCCAGAGTGTCCTTTTCTAAATGAAAAGGACAGATTAAAAGAGGACTACAAAGAGAAACTGTCTGAAGAATACAAAAAGATAAAAACAGAGCCAAAACTAAAAACGGCTCTCCAAAACAAAAGAAAAGATGACAAAAAAGAGCCCAAAAATATACATAAATGAGAATAGTGGCTGAAACAAGAAACAATCCCAAACCAAAAGGAGAAAAAGAGAAACACAAAAAATCTGCTTTGATCTACATAAAGTTTCTTATGATATGTTTCCTGGTGGTGCAGTCATAATGTATCGGGTCACCATTCATTATGTTTGTGGTTCAATCCCAGCTTTAAGTGATTTCAACCCAAAGGTGCACAATCATGTACAAGTCCTTCCACCACATCTATGTCATTTATATTCTCTAAGTCTATGTATAATAAATATAATTATAATACACAACAAATCATTCATTCCTAGTTCCCTAAACCCCTTTCTCACAGGTTTTCCTCTGTGCACTTCAATCAAATCTCCTATGTCTTATCAGAAATGTAGAGTTAGTTATTAATTGTAGTGGTTAGTAATTTGTAATAAAATAGATAAAAAAGATAACATATTCTAACAGTCCCTCTTCACAAGAAACGAAAATGTGTAAATGCTGGGTAAAACAAGTTCCATGGTTGCCTTAAGGTCAGTTATTAACCTCAGAAATATACACATTTGTATCACTTCAGCCACAGAAACGTGTGTCACTTTCGAGGAATTCGAGGATGTGTCCAGAACACAGAACAGTGTCAAGTCGAGTCCCAACTAAATAAAAGATATAATAAAGAATATAACTATGTAATTTATCATCCAAAATATGTTTAATTGTTTGTTGTGTTCATCATATCACATCATAATCAATATCTAACATTGACTGCATACAAACATACTTCTTGTTCTACAAAAATGCTGCAAAGTACATTTGTAGATTATACCAACAACAAATATATATATTTGCAGAACAAATCACTTTTAAATTTTTCATAGTTATTGATGTTATGTTTGCAAGATGTGAGACAGAACACAAGGCCTGAAATCATCAACATCATGATGACTAAATGTATATTTTAGTATCTTTTATTGTGAGGAAGAAATCAGACAACAAACATCCAGTGTAGTAATTTATAAATGCATAGACAAAGTAACACATTAAGAACAACATCATTCCTTTTGAAATCTCCTGATATCAGCCATATCATGTGGTGTATTACTGATTTTACAGAGTAGCTGGCTGTAATCTCAGGACTGCATCTTGTGAAAAACTATCATCAGCTCTACAATCCATAAACTCCTCCTTGAAAGAGCCCCCAGCCCTGGCAGCGCAAATTCCCAGACACCAAAGAACTAATTAGCACCAACCAGGCACACCTGTGGGTCCTGCGTTTAAGCTCATGCAAATGGCAGTTCACATCACACCTTTGTAAAGGGGTGACTGGTTTGGTACCCAGAGTGTCTTTTTCTAAATCAGAACTCTCTCTCTCAGAACTCGCACCTGCAAAACACTCCGGTTTCACTCACAACTGGAAATCCTGCTCAAAGGTGCTCTTCACCTTCAAAACTCGCACACTAGCTGACTCAACACCACAGCCATGAACGTACCTTTACCAATTGGCGTAAAGCTGCTTAAGAAAAGATGCCATGATTGGTGCACTGACAGAAACCGCCCCTCGACAGCTCTGATTGGCCGAGTTTTGACACAAACATTCAGACATTTTACAGTGAGATGTGAAAGTTGAGCACACGCTGTGGAGCTGAGAGCAGAAATGATTTGTGCACACATGCAAGTTTTGAAGGTGAAGAGCACCGTTGAGCATGTTTTCCAGTTGTGAGTGAAACCGGAGTGTTTTGCAGGTGCGAGTTCTGAGAGGGAATTTTACTGTTGTGCAGATTTTCAGGTTCTGAATGAAATCAAAGTGTTTTGTTGAGCAAATCTGAAGGTGTTTACCTGCCGCACTTCATGCTGACAAGTGCATTCAAGTTCAGTAGCTGCATTCAGAGCAACGCTGTCCTCTCAGGCCGGAACATTCCTCTCTCAAACATCAGGATTATTTCTCAAACATTTTGGCACAAAACTAACTCCATACCGTCCACCCCATATTTGTCCACAGAAAGGTGCGTCACTTTATCTTTGTCATAGTTGCCAAGATTGGAATTGGAGGATGTGTCCAGAACACAAAACAGTGCGGGAGTCCAAACTAAATAAAAGATATAATAAAGAATATAAACATGTAATTTATAAATATAAACATTTAATTTATCATCCAAGCTTCCAAGTTTGTTTTGCTTAACATATCACATCATAATCAATATCTAACTTTGACTGCATATATTCATCATTTTTGTTCTACAAAAATGCTGCAAAATACATTTTTAGGTTAATGTACTGCCAAAAAATTGTTTGCAGTACAAATCATTTTCATATTTCAACATTATTGATGTGAAGTTTGCAAGATGTGAGACAAAACACAAGGACTGAACTCATCAACATCATGATGAATACATTTATATTTTAGTGAGTTGTAATTGTAAAGTCACTTTTAGTGTTAGGAAGAAATCAGGCAACAAGCATCCAGTGTACTACTTTCTAAACGTTTAGATAAAGTAACACATTGAGAATAACATCAGTCTTTTTGAATTCTCCTGATTTAAACTGTACCATGTGCTGTATTACTGATTTTACAGACTAGCTGACTGTAATCTGAAGACGGCATCTAGTGAAAAACTATCATCAGCTCTACAATCAATAAACTCCTCCCTGAAAGAGCTGGACCTCAGTAACAATGACCTGCAGGATTCAGGAGTGGAGCTGCTGTCTGCTGGACTGAAGAGTTCACACTGTAAACTGGAAACACTCAGGTGAGTTTTCTGTAAATTAGATCTTTAATCAAAAATTAAGCTCTTATGTTTCAGACATTTCTGATATTCTGGAATGGGCACTCATACATTCAGTTCTGTCCTTGGTGAAATGTGGCTTTATGAATATTGTGGTTTTCACTTGACTTATGCAGATTTGGAGATTTAGGAGATGGTCCTGCTCTCAGCAGAGAGAATTCAGTAACACTTTACAGATCTGTAGTAAGTGGGCAATGATATGATAGTAGTATGGTAACAAGTTGTGCTAACCTAAACAAAATGCATGCCAGCAGAGGGTGACTGTGGAGAGCCACCCCCAGCCCGGGTGATGCCAATTCACCGAAGCCAATGGGCTGATTAGCACCAATCAGGTACTTCTGTGGGATCCGCATTCAAGCTCATGGCAAATGGCAGTTCAGCATCACACCTTTGTAGAGACGTGACTGGTTTGGTACCCAGAGTGTCTTTTTCTAAATGAAAAGGAAAAAGTAAAAGAGGGCTAAAAAGAGAAACTGTCTGAAGAATACAAAAAGATAAAAAGAGAGCTGAAACTAAAAACAGCTCTCTAAATCAAAAGACAAGAGGAAATAAGAGCCAAAAACAATACAAAAATGAGAACAGGGGCTGAAACAAGAAACAGTTCCAAACCTGAGAACCACAAAAAATCTGCTCTGATCTACAGAATGTTTGCTACGTTGTGTTTCCCAGTGGCGCAATGTTAACATATCGTGCCACTATTCATCATGTTGGTGGTTCAATCCCAGCATTAAGTGATTTCAACCCAAAGTTGCACAATCATGTACAAGTCCATCCACCCCATATTTGTCTACAGAAAGATGCGTCACTTTATCTTTGTCATAGTTGCCAAGACTGGAATTGGAGGATGTGTCCAGAAAAAACAACAGTATGGGAGTCCAAACTAAAAAAAAACATATAATAAAGAATATAAACATGTAATTTATAAATATAAACATTTAATTTATCATCCAAACTATTTTTGTTTGTTTTGTTAAACATATCATATCATAATCAATATCTAACTTTGACTGCATATATTCATCATTTTTGTTCTACAAAAATGCTGCAAAATACATTTTTAGGTTAATGTACTGCCAAAGAATTGTTTGCAGTACAAATCACTTTCATATTTCAACATTATTGATATAATGTTTGCAAGATGTGAGACAGAACACAAGGAATGAAATCATCAACATCATGATGATTACATTTATATTTTAGTGAGTTGTAATTGTAAAGTCACTTTTAGTGTTAGGAAGAAATCAGGCAACAAGCATCCAATGTACTATGTTCTAAACGTTTAGATAAAGTAACACATTAAGAATAACATCAGTCCCTTTTGAATTCTCCTGATTTAAACTGTACCATGTGCTGTATTACTGATTTTACAGACTAGCTGACTGTAATCTGAAGACAGCATCTAGTGAAAAACTATCATCAGCTCTACAATCAGTTAACTCCTCTCTGAAAGAGCTGGACCTCAGTAACAATGACCTGCAGGATTCAGGAGTGGAGCTGCTGTCTGCCGGACTGAAGAGTTCACACTGTAAACTGAAAACACTCAGGTGAGTTTTCTGTAAATTAGATCTTTAATCAAAAAATTAAGCTCTTATGTTTTAGACATTTCTGATATTCTGGAATGGGCACTCATACATTCAGTGCTGTCTTTGGTGAAATGTGGCTTTATGGATATTGTGGTTTTCACTTAACTTATGCAGATTTGGAGATTTAGGAGGTGGTCCTGCTCCCAGCAGAGAGAATTCAGTAACACTTTACAGATCTGTAATAAGTGGGCAATGATATGATAGTATTATGGTAACAAGTTGTGCTAACCTAAACAAAATGCATGCCAGCAGAGGGTGACTGTGGAGAGCCACCCCCAGCCCGGGCGATGCCAATTCCCCAAAGCCAATGGGCTGATTAGCACCAATCAGGCACACCTGTGGGACTTGCATTTAAGCTCATGGCAAATCGCAGTTCAGCATCACACCTTTGTAGAGACGTGACTGGTTTGGTACCCAGAGTGTCTTTTTCTAAATGAAAAGGTAAAAGTACAAGAGGGCTAAAAAGAGAAACTGTCTGAAGAATACAAAAAGATAAAAATAGAGCTGAAACTAAAAACAGCTCTCTAAATCAAAAGACAAGAGGAAATAAGAGCCAAAAACAATACATAAATGAGAACAGGGGCTGAAACAAGAAACATTTCCAAACCAAAAGAAAGGAGAAAAAGAGAACCACAAAAAATCTGCTCTGATCTACAGAATGTTTGCTACATTGTGTTTCCCAGTGGCGCAATGTTAACATATCCTGCCACTATTCATCATGTTGGTGGTTCAATCCCAGCATTAAGTGATTTCAACCCAAAGTTGCACAATCATGTACAAGTCCATCCACCCCATATTTGTCCACAGAAAGGTGCGTCACTTTATCTTCGTCATAATTGCCAAGATTGGAATTGGAGGATGTGTCCAGAACACACAACAACGTAGAAGTCCAAACTAAATAAAAGATATAATAAAGAATATAAACATGTAATTTATAAATATAACATCTAATTTATCATCCAAACTATTTTTGTTTGTTTTGTTTAACATATTACATCATAATCAATATCTAACTTTGACTGCATATATTCATCATTTTTGTTCTACAAAAATGCTGCAAATTACATTTTTAGGTTAATGTACTGCCAAAAAATTGTTTGAGGTACAAATCACTTTCATATTTCAACATTACTGATGTGAAGTTTGCAAGATGTGAGACAAAACACAAGGACTGAACTCATCAACATCATGATGAATACATTCATATTTTAGTGAGTTGTAATTGTAAAGTCACTTTTAGTGTTAGGAAGAAATCAGGCAACAAATATCCAGTGTACTACTTTCTAAAAGTTTAGATAAAGTAACACATTGAGAATAACATCAGTCCTTTTGAATTCTCCTGATTTAAACTGTACCATGTGCTGTATTACTGATTTTACAGACTAGCTGAGTGTAATCTGAAGACAGCATCTTGTGAAAAACTATTATCAGCTCTACAATCAGTAAACTCCTCCCTGAAAGAGCTGGACCTCAGTAACAATGATCTGCAGGATTCAGGAGTGGAGCTGCTGTCTGCTGGACTGAAGAGTTCACACTGTAAACTGGAAACACTCAGGTGAGTTTTCTGTAAATTAGATCTTTAATCAAAAATTAAGCTCTTATGTTTCAGACATTTCTGATATTCTGGAATGGGCACTCATACATTCAGTGCTGTCTTTGGTGAAATGTGGCTTTATGAATTTTGTCGTTTTCACTTAACTTATGCAGATTTGGAGATATAGGAGGTGGTCCTGCTCTCAGCAGAGAGAATTCAGTAACACTTTACAGATCTGTAGTAAGTGGGCAATGATATGATAGTAGTATGGTAACAAGTTGTGCTAACCTAAACAAAATGCATGCCAGCAGAGGGTGACTGATTGGGCTGATTAGCACCAATCATGTACACCTGTGGGACCTGCATTTAAGCTCATGGCAAATGGCAGTTCAGCCTCACACCTTTGTAGAGACGTGACTGGTTTGGTACCTAGAGTGTCTTTTTCTAAATGAAAAGGAAAAAGTAAAAGAGGGTTAAAAAGAGAAACTGTCTGAAGAATACAAAATGATAAAAAGAGAGCTGAAACTAAAAACATCTCTCTAAATCAAAAGAAAAGAGGAAAAATAAATAAAAAATAAATAAACAAGAGTAGGGGCTGAAACAAGAAAGAGTTCCAAACCAAAAGAAAAGGACATTAAGAGAACTATAAAAAATCTGCTCAGATCTACAGAAACTTTCTTATGCTATGTTTCCTGGTGGTACAGTGGTAACGTATCGAGCTACCATTCGTCATGTTGGTCATTCAATCTCAGCTCAAAGGTGCACAATCATGTACAAGCCTGTCTACCTTATCTATGTCATTTATATTTTGAAAGTCTATGTATAATAACTATAAATATAATACTCAACAAATGCTAGTTCCGTTAACAGGTTTTCCTCTCTATACTTGGGTCAGTTCTTCTATGTAACATAAGAAATATACAGCAAGTTACCAATTGTAGCGGTTAATAATTTGTAATAAAATATGGTAAAAAAAGATAACATACTCAAACAGTCCCTCTTCACAAGAAAAGGAAATGTGTTAACTCTGGGTACAACATATTCCACTGTTGACTTATGGACAGTTATTAACCTCAGAAATATAGGCGTTTGTATCACGTCAGCCACCACAGAAAGGTGTGTCACTTTTTCTTTGATATAGTTGCCAAGACTGGAATTCGAGGATGTGTCCAGAACACACAACAGTGTGGGAGTCCAAACTAAATAAAAGATATAATACAGAATATAAACGCATGGAAAAATTCCTTCACAGCTATTGAGTACAATAACATCAGCTCACGTCCTCAGCATGATAAATCACTGGATAGGTGAAAATAACTGTAGCTAAAATGCTAGATAAGCTATGTTAGCTGGAGATGTTGAACTGCTAAAAGTTAATAATAAACAAGTTGTCAGAAAGCTAAACATGCACACATGCTGTCAGGAAGGCCCGCCGGGTCGTCACAGCCCATAACGCCACTTTAGACATTTTCCTCAACCCCCAGCTCCAGAGAACGAACATCTGCTCCCTGCTGATGACTCGTTCTCTCAGATACTGACAGATTTTAAGGGAGAAACTGTTTCTCTGAAAGCGCCTGTTGCAGCAACTTTAAAGCACACACTGCATGTTAACATTAGACAGCAGCAGTGAAATACTGACACAGAGCTTCTTCTCCTCCATATGACAAAGATTATTCCTTTAATAACTGCACTAACTCACTTTTTCTCTGTTCATCATCATCTGACAAACCACTGAAACTGAGATACGTTTGTTTTGCTTCAAACTCAAACATGTGAGTAAGTTGTACATGCTCTACTCATCTTCGTTGTTATTGTCATTGCTTTAGCACAAGCAGGGCCTATTAAGGGCCTATTAACATAAATAAAATGTTCATTTTCCGGTTATGCAAAATAATTATTAAAAATTACAGCCAAGCCAGTAAATAATAATAATAATAACAATAATAATAATAACAAAAACAAAACAACAATAATAATAAAAGTTCAACCTATATAGTGCCTAAGGTACATAGGCAAAAAAGTAGGAAGTAGGTTTAAAGCTGAGCTTTAAAGGAGGAAAGTGAGGGACAGTCACTTAGAGATTGTGATAATGTGTTCCATAGTTTGGGGACCATGACGCTAAAAGATCTGCCTTCGACTGTGGCCAGTTTAAATTTTGGGATAACTAGACGACCTGAGTCAGAGGAACTAAGTGTTTGGGCAGGGCAGTGAGGGTGCAGGCGCTCGGCTAAGTAAGCTGGTGCTGGACCATGTAGAGATTTGTAAGTTAGCAGGAGGGCTTTAAACTGGATACGAAGCTGGATGGGTAAAAAAATGTTTTGTAAATCTTTTTGTTTTTTACATTTATAATGATAAAATGTCCAGATCTCACATCATATTATCTGCTTCATCAGGATATCAGTCCAATATTACATTAAATGTTCCTTTTTTGTTACTTGTCAATAAAATACAGTGACTCTGTTATAAACCACAGATCTAGAAAAGGACAAAGCCATTAGATCAGTGATGAAAAAAACTCACACCAGAAAACATGTTCACTTTTATTTACCTTTATGTATGTTATTATTTATTACCAAAAAACAACACATTTTTAGGTTAGTACAACTTGTTAGCATTACTTTATCATTATCTTACCACTGCAATTACTAATTTATCATTTATATATATTATTTATATATGTATATTACTTAAAATAATGTAATTATTGTAACGCCTTAAATAATATAATAAATGTTATCTAATCTGTATGTACATTCAACTTAAAATGGTATTACCAAACAATTACACACTTATTAACAATCTACTACAGTTACAGTAATTCTGGATATTAAGATGGGAATAATTCCATAATCCCTTCACACAGAAGCAGTTCATATCATTTTACTCAGCCAAACCACAGACAGTATTTTACTTTTATGTCTCTATTAGTATAAAGATTTGCAATGATTTAATCAAGATATACTTTTTTAAACCTCTTGTTTAAAAAATCTTGTTTATTTTTGACAGATTTTAATTTTAATTATTTTATAACTGTAGTGTTCTTTGCTATTCTATAAATTGTTTTACTTAATTGGTGTTTTTGTCATTTCCTCCATTTCACCTTTATCTATAACTTCACTTGTAATGCTTCCAGAAGGAAAATGGTTTCTGCTTTGGAGTCTTAGTCCTAAGTTCTAAATTTCTTCCTAATCATCTCTCCTGGAGATCAGAATCTTACTGGTCATGTTGGGTTGGTGATGTAGTTCCTGTGATGTAGTTCCTGATTTTTGAGATTGCTTTGTGGGAGTGTTGCTGTTTGCTCTGCTCTATTTTTTTCTAATCTTTAGCTGTTTTTTTACTTTTTAATAATTTGCTGCACATCACTCAAAAGTAATTATAACCTTTGGCTTTCAGAGGCTATTTTTCTCTCACTGGGTCCAAAAGACACATTTGTCATCAGTAGTGACAGCAGCATTACTAATTTTGTTTGTGAAAAATGTAAATTAGTTTGTTGGGTGACAGAAAAGATTCTACAGTTAGAGGTGTGCATCTGAAAACTAGTAAAGAGTAGAGCTAGTAAGAAGGGCTCAGGTTCTCTGTTAGAAGCTCCAGGTGCCTCAGAGCGAGTTAGCACTCCCTTGACTCCAGGAGCGGAGCCCTCAAAGTGGGGTGAATGGGTCTCATCTTGGCGGAATAGTCACAAAGCCAAAGCTAATACTAAACTTTCCCTACTCGATCACCACTCCTCTCACATTCACATGTCCAACAGGTTTACCCCACTCAGTGAAACACCCTCTGAGACACCTGTTGAAAGAGCTTCCTTAAAATGCCACCTACACCATAGCTGTATGTAAAAGCCATCTGTCCCTCTTTTTTCTTCCTTTCTGCAGATTGTCTGGTTGTATGGTTACAGATAAAGGCTGTTCTTCTCTGGCTTCAGCTCTGAAATCAAGCCCCTCCCACATCAGAGAACTGAATCTGACCTATAATCACCCAGGAGAGTCTGGAGTGAAGCTGCTGTCTGATCTACTGGAGGACCTACACTGCACACTGGGGAAACTACAGTGAGTTTCTGATTTACTGTCTCTATACATAGACTGACTTCTACTGTGTTTGTACATATACACATGTTTTGTGAGGTGGTGAATTGTTCATCCCATGAACATGAATTTAAATAGCATTAGGACACTGAGCTCCAGTGCTCGGTAGTTTTGGAAGAGACTTTCCATAATGGTTTTAGCTGCAGTAGCTGCTTAATTTATGCTAAAAGCCTAATTAGCTATATTAGTGATCTAATTAATGTTAACATTAGTTAAAGTTGTTGTTTTTCCTGCTAATAACACATAAAATCAGCAAGAGGAAGTTCACTGTTAACTAACACACTGATGGTAAAGTAACACGTAATATAATTAATAAATCAGCAGAAACATCAGGCTGTGTTTCACCAGTGAGGACCAAGAACCAAGAGAGTCACAGAGACAAGCACAGTGAGAGAGAGAGGGAGAGAGACAGAGAGAAAGAGAGCGAGAGAGAGAGAGAGAGATAGCGAGAGACAGAGAGTGACAGAGACAGAATGACAGACAGAGACAGAGAGAGAGAGAGAGAGAGAGAGAGAGAGAGCAAGAGACAGACAGAGAGACAGAGAGAGAGAGAAAGACAGAGAGAGAGAAAGAGCGAGAGCAGTTTATGAATGAATGGAGGAATGGGAAATAAACAAATTATCTGTAAATGTACCTAACATTTATGGATGTTTAAAAATATTTAATACAGATTTAAATACAATAATATTACTAATAATAATAATAATAATAATCATTAGAACATTGCATTTTCTGAAGAAAATACAGAGTGATTATCCAGCTGAAGCTTGTTTCTAGGTCGGTTGCTAAGGTGTTTCTAGCCAGCTGCTGTGGTATGAGGGGTCTGTACTGAGTGGTTGTTAGAGGGTTGCCACATGGTTGGCTGTTGTTGTAAAAAATGAATGGGAGTCTATAGGAAGAACAAGGGATGAAAAATCGACACACAGAGGAGTGCAGGTCAGTATAGCTGTGAATTAGAGCTTGGAGACCTGCCCTGAGTGAGGACACATTCTGGTGGCCGTCAGTCAAAGGAAGGTATAGGACTTATCTGTGGGCAAAACTGAATGGATATAAAAAGGAGGAACGAGGGATGAGAAAAAATTACAAACAGAGTCAGAACAACATTGAATTTGTGCTCAGGGGGCGGCCCTGAGATAGTATATGTGAACGGTGTCTTTCGGTCGAGCAGAAGGACAGTAGCTGGACGTGCAGTTGATTACCCCATTCATTCCTACGGAAAAAAGTCGTAATTTAACGAAGATTGTAAGAAAACCGTACGATCAAAAAGTTGTACACAAGCACACCATTCCTGATCAGACTGAACATTGCAGAGTTAGACCAGTTGTGATGCCCTTAAGGCATTTAGTTAATCTGTTCATTTTTCTTTCTTGTATTTAAAGATTTGTTGTTGCTTATTTTTTGTCTTAAGTAAAAAAAAGGGACCTTCATAATTAATCTTTAGTTTAATAAGCTTATTTGTATGTGCGATGACTTGTAGATCACTTGTAGTTTTTACTTCCGGGGTTTTCCGGGGGTTCTGCAGCAAAACAAAATGAGGCAGACATGAGTTCATGTTCTGAACGTCTCCTTGCATCAATGTGAAGCATCAAAGAGTTTAAGATCATCTAACATTAAACATATTACAGTTCATATATTAGCAATGGTGATGTTAAAAATGGTGTTTGTTAAGTTGGTTAAGAAAAGAGAGAAACTGTTTGTTTACAGTTGTGTATAAGCTAATAGATATATTAGCAGCCATGGTAACTTCTACCTACCATTCAGAACAGGAATGTATATGTCAATGTTTACAGCTATGCACAATGTATAATTAAGAACTCAGAAGCTGAACAAGTTTTGTATTGTTTATTTACAGTTTTCACCTGCATGCTAATGAGAAAGAGTGACAGTAAATAGTCAACCTTACTTTCGACACACGGCACGAGAACACTACACCGCTTTCCATATTCTGAAAACTGCAGGACAAGTTGGACGAAAAATGTCTGGTACAGAAATAATAAAAAAATAATAATAATAAGTAGAAGAATATAAATGGGATAACAATAGTGTTGCACATTATTATATCGCTAATACTACTACTATTAATAATAGTTATAATACCATTTTATAAATTATAATAAAAATAATATGTTTTATAAATAATACTAAATATAGTAATCTAATAAATTCATGCTAATATTAGTCTGAAAACAATAAAATAAAATAGTAAAATACTGAAATTCTTTAAAATATTTCCATTTTTAATGAAAACCAAATTATTTTTGTTAAATGTCATTAACTTAAATGTCATTAATAGTAACTTTTTTTAAATTATATTTCATAACAGCATATTAAATTTAAAATGGTAAATGTAAATATCTGTGTTCTCCAGCCTGTAGATCTGTTGATGGTGTTGAACATTCTCTACATCTGTAAGATCACAGAGATACTACAATTTTACAGTTTGATCATTTCAGGGTAAAAACCTCCAGCCTGACAGACACATCTTAAATACTGAGTTTACCTTCTTACAGAACGACTGAACTGAGCTGAATATTAACTGGCTTCACTGTTAAAAGTGGAACACAGCAGAAGTTGATCTGAACTGTTTTTCAGCTTTGAATCATAAATATTGATTTTGATCATTTGAAGTTTTATTTACTTTGAAATGTTTTGTTCATCCTATTTATTTGAGTTACATATTTAACTTATTTAAACAGATTTTATGATAATAAATTCTGACAAAATGTTAATATATTCTTCTTTCATTGAATATAAACTTAAGTTATTAATAATATTTATAGCATTTTTAATCCAATATTGTATCAAAATAGATTAATTTCATTACCTTCAAACTTTTACTTGAATAAAACCAGCTTTGATAGATGTCAAACATGACAGATTAATTTGACTATGATTCTGAAAAAGATGTATTTAATTATACACACACAATAAAAATAAACAATAAAACAGTAAAGAGTGAAAACATCACAGATTAATCTTTATAAAACTCCAGAAAGTCTCCATTCTTTATAAGGAGTAACTGTAAGGGTTGGCTCCCGGGCTAGGCCACTGCCGGCCACCAGGGGGAGTCAACGACCCAAATGAGCCACACCTGCTCAGGGGGCTTATAAGGGCTGGGAAGAAGACGCACCTTGCTGAGTCTTTGTTTCAGAATTCTGGCAAACAGACCGGCCGGTAATCTTGGTAAGAAGCTCTAAGAGGATTTTCCTCGAGCTTCTTTTCTCTTTGTCGCTTCTCGAGCCTATCCCCCTTTCTCGAGTCGTGTCTTTCTTCCTTTAAAAGAGAGAGAGATAAGTAACTAAAACTATAGAAGGGAGAAGTTTGCCCCTTCCTCTTTTCATTCTCCTTTGGTTATCCCTTTCTGTTGGGAAAGTGTGTTTTTTTTTTATTTTTTATTTTTAGTTATCATTTCCTCAGTGTTTGAGAGAGCCAGTCTTTCCCCTGGCGTCCTTTGTTTATTTCCCGCCTAAGCCTGAGCAGGTGGGCTTTCATACGTCTTTTGTTTTCCCCCCTTTTCGGCGTTCCCTTGTAAGGTGACACCACCTCCATAGAGCAGTGGTAGGGCGCCGGTTTACTAACGTGGCGACGTGGGTTCGAGCCCCGGCGTCCGCAGTTGTATATATTATTTCAATAATACCTTCCAATCGCATAGAAGCTGAGCGTTTGGGTCCTACTTTCCAATACCTTGTGGTGGCTCACCCGGGTGGCCTTTGAAATACCAACCAGATGGCCTGGGTTCTAATCCCACCTCTGGCAAGCTGCTACATTACAGAAACATGTCCTATTTCCTGTAGTTATGAATAGACTGTGTTCTGATCTTTTTACAGTGAGTTCAGTATATTGACAGTAGAGGAAGGTGAGTGAAAGTGCAGCGTAACTCCAGAGAAACTCAATTAAATGTTACTTTTCTATCTTTTGTTTAACTTATTTAGATTATAACCATTATAATGATTTTATGGAGTTAATTTCGTGCCAAAAGTTTCAAATACAGTAAAGAAATGTTAAATATCAAAACGGCAAAAGTTACAAAAACTTACTTCAGTTTTGAAATGTTTTACTGATTATTTCCACTCATTTTCATGTACGTGTATTTTGTGTTTTGCTAGTTTTGCTTCTATTTTTTCTGTTTTGTTGATGCACTTTTGTTTCTGAAATCCCTCTTTTGAATCTGAATTTGTTGATTTATTTATGAATTTTAGCACATATTTTCATGGGGGATGGGTTTCAGAAAAGGGCGTTCACCTGCACTGATTACTGGACAAATGATTTGGAGTGACAGGTCTTCTGACGCGTGCCCACTATATGTCTCGGGTACCGCTCCAACATGGCGTTGTATTGAGTGCAGTGTTGAACTGGAGTATTACTTTAAAATGATTAATGAAACACATATTTAGGGTTTTGTTTTGCTTTGTGTAAAATGGTATTAATGTTATTCTATTATGTTTTTGAATGAAGCTGTACTAACATTCAGGTTTGAAGTTTTACTAATAAGCCTAGCAGTGTCATCTATAGATAACTAGCCTATCACTGTGATCTGGGTTACTGGGTTACCAGTGTGATCTAGAGCTAACTAGCCTTGTACTGTGATTGAGGGCTAATTAGGCTAGCGTTGTGATAGAGAGTTACGTAGCCAAATAAAATTATATAGAGAGAACTAAGCTAAAGTATGATGCAGCACTAATGAGCACAAAAAGTGATCAAGTGCTAACTGGGCTACTAACGCTAGTTAGTATAGATATAAATATCTAACGTTACTTCACTGTATTAATGTGAAGACAGTGATTTGGAGCTGCAGTGTTCTGTAAACTGGTAATGGAGCTAAAGCTCTTAAATATCTAACGACCACGACTTTGGCTGTGTTTACATGCAAAGATTTTTGACAATCTGAATGAATACATTTCGAATACATATTAAGACTGAGATGTTTATCTCACTCTATTCAACAACCTGATGCAAAATCTTCATTTACATGCTCACTTCAAGTAATCCGATCCAAAATGATGCTCATGCATGGAGAAACACTTAGAGTAAACGTTACCATGACAGCGAACATCACATGAGGTCCAGTCTGAGTGAGATGAGTTTCCAGTTGGCGCGCTGGAGTTTTTAATTGCTTTAAAAATATGTCGGACTCAAGAAAACGTCCTTCACATGTCCTTATTAAAGAAGGGCGAGAGGAAGACGTCGTGTTCTGAGACACATAAGCTGGACGTCCGTCCCACCGCCGTCTTTTAAAGATCAAAGCTTCGTCTCCTCTGCAGACCAGTTTCTGCTCCGCCATGCTGAACGTCATAAAGGGTGTCATAAAGGGTGTTTTATACTATAATGATCTGTTTTAGTCTTTAGTTTAGTTTTGATTTGATATGAAGTGTAATGAATGTATAAATGTGTGTGTTTGTTCTTCAGGGTGGATCATGGAGGGAAGATCAGGATCAAACCAGGACTGAAGAAATGTAACACACACACACACACACACACACACATTCTTGTAAATGCCCCAAAGTGAGGACCGGGTAAAAGCCCAGGGAGACTGAGGACCATGGTTTCTGGAGATAAGCTGTTTGAGTGTTTAGCCACTAGATGTCGTCCACATGCGAGGGGTCACTTGATATTGAATGAATAGTAGAATTAACGAAAAAGTTTTCTACCGCTAAACTGAGGACCTGCTCGGCCGCTGGGCAGAAACAACAACATCTGAATGGAATATCACTCTTAAACGCCCAACGCCTCCAACTACTGCAGACAAATTATTTACATCAAACTGTGTTTGTCAAATAACTTTAATGGCCATATGTTTCCAGAGTAAAAAATAAAAGTCATGGCAAAGAGTGATTATTAAACATTTCCCGGATTTTGCAGGACTTTTGTGAGCTTTAGCGATTAACATAGCTAGCGCTTTGAGCCGCCATCACCAACATAGCCTGTAGAGTAGAAGGAGCCTGCCTACAAGGCCGCCTGACCAATAGTGGCTGAGCAACAGAGGCTCTAGCCAATCAGGTTCTAGACCGCTCTGTACGGACGAGTAAGGAGTCCGCTCTGCTGCCCGAGCGCCGCCCTCCAAACAGAACCACCATTTCTGACTGGCTGAAACTTCCATCAGTTAAAACACAGAGCTTTGCCCACGATGGACTGAAATTCCCCCACCAATCAATATAAGCAGAGTATCAGTACAGTAACAGTGACACCATACGAAACAACTCGCTCAGAAAATGACAACCGGCCGCTAAATAAGTTTAAAATGCTGAGACACAGCAACACAACATTCCACACCCGCTGCTGCAGCACAAACCGCGATTAAAGCTCAAAAAGCACAGAATTACCACAAAAACACACAATTACCACATTACAACCACCACAAAACAAACCTGCACATCGCAAAGAAGCACAACAAGCTCACACTGCGCAGCGGCAGCCCTTAAACCCACTTTCCTTACCTTATGAAGACTAAAGCACTGGACAATGGCTGAAGAGTGACGATTAAATCCGCAATAAACCCAACGCCGGAACAAATCTGACCAAATGAGGACAAATAAGCTGTAAAAGTGGCGATTTACTAAACCAAAGCCCTAAAGTACATTAAAGCAGGTAGTTTAGCGATTTTTGAACAGGAGAACGAGCCTGTTTACACACGACTTGATGGTTTGAATCTAGGAATCGATTCTTGAACCCTTCTAGTCGACTCCTTTCCATCGCTAGCGAATAGCTGAATGAATTGGACTCCTGAAGATGACTCGATTGAATCAACAGAATCGATTCCATTCTCTAAAACTCTCAGTCATTGGTGAGAGTCTCAGAGAATGGAATCGACTCTGTTGATTCATTTGAGTCATTTCCATCCAGTATATCCGCACTGTACCGAGTCAAGCACTTTTTTAAGGATTAGTACGAGTCTTTAGTTCAGAAAAAGAGATGCTGTTAATTATGTTGTTCATTGTTTTGTTATTTAAAAAAGGACTGCAAGTTGAATTCCAACAGTAATTCAGCTCGAATAAGATCTAAAATTTATTCACATTATCATTTATTTCCTCATTAATATCTCTTGTATGTATGTATGTATGTATGTATGTATGTATGTATGTAATATATGTGTGTGTGTGTGTGTGTGTGTGTGTGTATATATATATATGTATAGCGAGGGGAGCTTACCAAGGCCGTGATTCTGTTCATGTATTTGATGTGTTATTTACATATAAGATACACGTGTGTACTTACAAAACCTTTCTTCCACCTAAGTACAGGACGTTCACCCATCAGCATAACCAGAGTTTCATCCAGCAGGGCTGGGTTTCCCAAAAGCACCAATGTCATTGTGAGCAAGTGCTAAAGTGAGCATTACATTCAACTCTCTCTACCAGTTAAGATGTTCATCATCCTTCCCTGGTTTGTCAAACATTCAGCAGCCTGAGAAAATGTGGGTGTCACTTCCTGATCCAAATTCAGGTTGTAATTTTGGAAGACATTCTTGCTCTAACATGGCCACTTCAACTTGGTTTGTTAACCCCAGGCTTTGCCGGAGGGCCCAAAGTTTTATTACACGCTTCTATAAGTAAGAGAATAGCTCAGTTAGTTTGCACAGAAGTCCCTGTAGTTAGTGAATAATAAGCCTTAGTGTGTAATAAGGCTGGGGTGTTAAGGGGTTAATTATTTGATTGAATAAATCAGATGAAACTGCAGAAACAGAAGAAACAATGCAGATTATTTTTGAACCAGAAACTAGTATGTCTTGTAATCGTCATTGACTGAAGAGATGAATGAATTTCCTCTTACTATCTATGGTCCATGAGTTTAACTGATCTGGTAGCCATTGGTAATCATGTGAATAATGATGCAATGGAACTTGGAAAACTTGAAGAAATTTTACTGCTCAACTTTTGTGACTGTTGCAGAAACATAATTGTTCATAATCAACATGAATTACGCACAAGATAGTAACAAAGATAACCAAATACACGGGATGGGCGAGCAGAGTGAGAGAGCAGGGGGATGGGAGAGCAGAGTGAGAGAGTGGGGGATGGGAGAGTATAGTGATAGTGGTGGGGATGGAAGAGCAGAAAGAGAGAGCGGGGGATGGGAGAGCAGAGCGAGAGAGCGGGGGATGGAGAGGGGCGAGAGCAGAGGGAGAGCAGAGCGAGAGAGCGGGGGATGGGAGGGGAGAGCAGAGCGAGAGAGCGGGGGGATGGGCGAGCAGAGCGAGAGAGCGGGGGGATGGGCGAGCAGAGCGAGAGAGCGGGGGGATGGGAGAGCAGAGCGAGAGAGCGGGGGATGGGAGAGCAGAGCGTGAGAGCGGGGGATGGGAGAGCGGGGCGATGGAAGAGCAGAATAAGAGTGGGGGATGGGAGAGCAGAACGAGAGAGCGGGGGATGGGAGAGCAGAGCGAGAGAGCGGGGGATGGGAGAGCAGAGCAAGAGAGCGGGGGATGGGAGAGCAGAGCAAGAGAGCGGGGGATGGGAGAGCAGAGCAAGAGAGTGGGGGGATGGGAGAGTAGAGCGAGAGAGTGGGGGGATGGGAGAGCAGAGGGATGGGAGAGCAGAGTGAGAGAGCGGGGGATGGGAGAGCAGGGGGATGGGAGAGCAGAGCGAGAGAGTGGGGGGATGGGAGAGCAGAGCGAGAGAGTGGGGGGATGGGAGAGTAGAGCGAGAGAGTGGGGGGATGGGAGAGCAGAGTGAGAGAGCAGAGTGAGAGAGTGGGGGGATGGGAGAGCAGAGTGAGAGAGCGGGGGATGGGAGAGCAGGGTGAGAGAGCGGGGGATGGGAGAGCAGGGGGATGGGAGAGCAGAGCGAGAGAGTGGGGGGGTGGGAGAGTAGAGCGAGAGAGTGGGGGGATGGGAGAGCAGAGTGAGAGAGTGGGGGGGAGAGCAGAGTGAGAGAGTGGGGGGATGGGAGAGCAGAGTGAGAGAGTGGGGGAGATGGGAGAGTAGAGCGAGAGAGTGGAGGGATGGGAGAGCAGAGTGAGAGAGTGAGAGAGTGGGGGATAGGAGAGCAGAGGGATGGGAGAGCAGAGTGAAAGACTGAGGCATGGGAGAGCAGATTGAGAGAGCGGGGCTGGCTGCTCAGCTCTATATGTTGCTGATATGCCTTCTATAAAACTTATATATCAGCCCAATAATCACTTCTTATTTCCAAACATCAGACCATCGATTATCAGAAGTCCTTTGTTGAACTGCAGCTTGTCTGTATCAGACTGTTTGTGGTTCGAATTGAAGCTAAGCTAGTCTAGTGCCAGAGAGAGCTGGGCTACTGCTTAAACTCATATTAAGACAGTTTAAACCAACATTATTCCACTTCACTCTAACACTACTGTGGTACAGGAAAATGTTAGATCAAACATCTGACCAACTGACCAGCACACTAGTTAACTACTTAACGTTAGCCAAAAAGTTTGCTATCAACATTACTGAAGTAAAACAAAGGAAAGACATCGTTTACCAAAAGACTACAGCTCAGTATTTCTAATTAAAAGTCAAAACGTCGTGTTAAAAGTGTGAAAGTAAGAGAAAACCGCGCTCTCCTGTCTGAAGGCTTGTAAAATGATGCAGCTCCAGAAAATGCGGTATCAGCTATGGAGTTTATTTTGTGCCAAAATGTCTGAGAGAAGATCCTGATGTTTGAGGGAGGAATATTCCGGTCTGAGAGGACAGCGTTGCTCTGAGCGCAGCTACTGAACTTGAATGCACTTGTCAGCACGAAGTGCGGCAGACAAACACCTTCAGATTTGCTCAACAAAACACTCTGATTTCATTCAGAACCTGAAAATCTGCACAACAGTACATTTTCCTCTCAGAACTCGCACCAGCAAACACTCCGGTTTCACTCACAACTGGAAAACCTGCTCAACGGTGCTAATTCACCTTCAACACTTGCACGTGCCCAAATCAGTTCTGCTCTCAGCTCCGCAGCGCGCACTCAACTTTCACACCTGTTCGCTGTGAAATGTCTGAATGTTTGTGTCAAAACTCCAGCCAATCAGAGCTGTCGAGGGGCGGTGTCTGTCAGCACACCAATCATGGCGTCTTTTCTTAACCAGCTTTACGCCAATTGGTCAAGGTACGTTCGTGGCTGTGGTGTTGAGTCGGCTAGTGTGTTGTAGCCTCGACATTAGCTAGATGGATTTATCAGTAATGCTGTCATAAATAATAATGTATTAATCTAACTAACATTGGTAGCTCGGCCATTTGTTTCCTACCAGAGGCTTAACGTTAGCTAACTTCAAATAGCTTAACATTAATCGACTAAGCTGACGTTAGTAAGGTTTCTTTGACTGTAGCTAACAGTGTCTAACAGTTTTCTACTGAAAAGTCTTAACTTTCCTATAGTTCTCGTCTTCATAGGCTCATCATATTATTCCTGTATATTGTTGGAAATTGTTTTATATATTTTACCAAACTAAAGGTTGTAGTATGTTTGTCAGGTGTCTCTGTAAACTACCAGTTATTTTAGATCTCTAAGTCATATGGATGTGACACAGTACTAATTTATTTCTATAAAATATTCATTAAAATTCAGTCGAGGCGTATTTTACCAAACTAAAGGTTG